CTTCTTATCTAAGGGGAATCCAGATGTTCCTGTAGTGACCTGTAGTGACTTTTGGAATGATTGAAAAACTTCCTCAGGAGCAGTATATGGAAGATGGAATGAAGGTAAGGAGCGGATTGTTAAGGGAGATGGTGGTCCTCGGTGTTAAGAACCAATCATAGTTCACCGGTTTAAAGAAATTGCCATGTCAGCTTTTGTACTTTCTTGTATTTCATTTATGTATCTAGTCTATATATAGAACAATTAGGCTGTAATAACATAGACAAGGAAATATTCTTCTTCTACTTTTCTGCTTCCATCCTTTCCTCTGTCGCTGTGCTTCTCTCACGCTTCCAGTGGGTAAGGGTTTCCACATGGTATCAGAGCTACAAAGCTCAACAGCTCCAGTGTTCGTATCTTGCCTCTAATCCACCATGGCAGAAGAAGACACGGCCGGATCTCGCCGGTTAGGAGTGGAAGGCAGAACCTCGTCCACCATTTCCAATCAAGATTCCGATCTTCTCATCCCTCAGCTCAAATTCTTGATATCCAATGTCAAGAACATGGTTCCCAACCCTCTCACCTCTGAAAACTACTCAATATGGCGCTTACAATTGTCTCAGCACTTCGCCGCAAATGGCTATGATGCGCACCTCACGGGTCTCGCCGTCCGCCCACCGGACTCGGTCCCCCATGAACAAAATCGGTGGAAGCTAATTGATTGCAATCTTGTCTCGGCTCTGCTGGCCACCATTTCCCCTCCCATTCTCCCGTATGTGATCAATCTCGGTTCCGCTCATGACGTCTGGACCGCTCTTGAACGCCGCCTTCAACCTACAAATCGGTCGCGCGTAATTCAGCTCAAGAACGAGCTACACCAAATTCAGATGCGAGACCGCACCATGCAACAATATCTTGATCAAATCAAGACGATAGTCAACAACATCGCGGCCGCCGGCTCCACCGTCGACACGAAAGATATTGTACTCTATATTCTCAACGGGATGCCCACGGCCTATAATTCGTTCAAAACAGCCATCAGGACCTCGCTGCAACCGATTCATCTTGATGATCTTTATTCACTCCTCAGCAGTGAAAAGATAATTCTTCAGCAACAAAACCTCAAAGACTCACAAAATTCCGAATCCACGGCATTCTTTTCAAACAGGAATTATCGTTGGAAAAAGTCACGTGGGAGAGGTTCGTTTCAAAGGCATCCGACAAACGATCGCTCGATGCCTCAAGTCGAGGCGCTATCGTCTGCACGCCCTCCGTTTCAGTGCCCCACCTGTCAGATCTGCGGCAAGTCCGGTCATGTCGCTCTTAACTGCTGGCATAGGTGCAATCTAAACTACGCAC